CCACCAGCAGCCTCCATACTTTCTCTTGATGAGGTGATGAGGGAGGTTCCCATGGGTGTTCAGTGCGTGTGGGAAAGTGTCTGCTTTAGGTTCTACATAGAAAACCATCAGCACATGTGTATTGCCAAACAAATACCATGGTATCCTGTCCCTTAAGGCAGCTTCAGACTGGCTCTGTCCCTCGGGGGAGTGTGGAAGGAGACTTCCTCAGCTGTGTTGGCTCCGCTGAGTAGCCGGAGGGTCAGATGCCTTCTGCATCTGCAGAGTCCCAACTGCTTCTCTGGGGGCTTTTCCTCTTCTGTTCAGTTTATCTAGTATTAAACCTCAGTAGAGGATGTACAGTCTAATACTTTAACAAGCGAATTGTCCTGGTTTTGTCCAAACTCTGGATTTCAAAGTTTGATGCTGTTATCAAAGTGCTGCACTAGCAACCTGGGGTGAGACCCCTCCCTCGGGCCATACTGCCAGGGTTTGCTCTTCCATTTTTCCATCCTGTTCCCTATTCTTGATACTCCCCCTTTCCAGGCTGCTCACAGTTAAGTGTCAGATCTTTTTTTTTTTTCTGGTTTTTTTTTTTTTTCCTCCCCTCCTCATGGTTTCCTTGACCTGCAAATTCCCCAGAGACAGGTGGAAACATGAGGGAGGAGTGTGGAAGTGGGTCTCTGTTTGTTGTCAAGGTGTCAGTGCTCTGCTCTCAAAATGCAGTGGCTGAGGAATGACACATGTTCAGCCACAGCATTGTCCCCATCTCTCATCTTCCATCCTGCCTTCCCTTCCAGGTCTTTCTTCACGAGGCCACCGTGCGCCTGATGGCAGGTGCCAGCCCTACCCGCACCCACCAGCTGCTGGAGCACAGCCTGAGGCGACGCACGCCCCAGAGCAGCAAGCAAGGTCAGCCCTGGGGCCTGGGCACCGACCCACTGCCTGTGGGGCAGGGAGGGGGCAGCACTTGGGCAAGGTGTGGGGGGATAGGTGCAAGCTGCAGTGTCTTCTGTGTCAGGATAATGAGCTCCCGTCAGCCTGTGGCTCAGGGCGATGCTTCTGCCATGCTCTCTACGAGCCAACTAAGCCCTGGGCTGGAGGTGTCAGTGAACAGACTGGAAAACATTTGCCTTCATGCAGCTATACATACACAAAACTTGGCACTCTGGGGTTTGGGGCAGGCAGTGCAAAGGCAGAAGCTGGGAATCCTAAAGGGAAGAGCCAAAAGATATGGTGCTGGTTATTAAATCCCTTGTGAGGGTGTAAGGGGAATGGGCAAATGTGTGTACCAATGCTGGGGTGAGCCCTAGGAAGTGAAAGGAACTATCTGTAGAAGACATGACTGACAGCCCCTACCTGACTCCAGCTCAGACTATTCTATTCTGCTAGCCTATAGCAGCTCCCTGGGGGTCCTCGGAGTGGCCCTCACTCTTGGCTCAGCCAGGGGTTGCCAGCTAGAGATGCCTGTGCTCACTGGTAACAGTTGAGGGCCTGCATGGTGGGGTTTTGTCATGCAGGTGGTAGCTCTGTTGTGAACTTTCTCTCTCCTGTTTGCACATAGGTGAACTGGACACATTGCCGGGCCAAAGGGAGAGAGCCACAGCCATCCTGTTGGCCTGCCGCCATCTTCCCCTCTCCTTCCTCTCCTCCCCGGGCCAGCGAGCCGTCCTGCTGGCTGAGGCCGCCCGCACCCTGGAGAAAGTGGGGGACAAGCGCTCCTGCAATGACTGCCAGCAGATGATTGTCAAGCTGAGCGGGGGCACGGCCATTGCTGCCTCCTAATGCTGTCTTGGGGCCGCCTTGTACAAAGACAGCTTGGTTGACCATCAGCCTAGACTTCCCTTCTGGAGCTTAAAAAAAGTGCTAGGCTAGGGCTGTGCTGGTGGGATTGTGATGGGGTGGGAGGGGGAGGGAGGGTTTTGTTTTGTTTTTTTTCTAAACTTGCCCCAGGTTTAGCTTTATTAGCTTCCTTGCTTGTTCTCAGGCACTGCAGCAGGAATCTGTCTAGTTGTGGTTTTTGTCACCTTGCCTGGGGCTGTTGGGAAGCTCTGTCCTGACACTGATTTCCCATTCCTGCTTTGGGGAGAAGCTCACAAGCCCAAGGCATAGAGAAGTGGCACATCCTGTGTCTGTCCTCAGGGGTATTTTATTCTCTTCCCAAACACCTCTGCAGAAAGAAGTCTTTGGGGAGGGCAGAGGATCTGCTCAAGCCTTGTCCCACAGGGCTGCTGGGGCTTGAGGATGTTCCCAAAAGAGAGGGGAAGGCACCAACTTTCCTAGAGTTGTGTGTCAGGAAACTGAAGCCCCCTATACCCAACTTACCTAGGTGCTCTGGGAGTATCGCTTGGGGCCAGTACTGCCCAGCAAATTTCTCTACAGTTTTTATACAGGTTTTTTTATAGGAGTGTTCATGGCTTTACAAAAACATAGGGAGCAATGCAGCAGATTTTCCTTCCTCTCTGCTTCAAGCGTCTTTTCCTGTGATTGATAGCTGCCTCCAGTTTTTGGCAGGGGGTGGGTTTGTAGCAGCCTACAACAAGCAAAGCCTGGTAGAAAGCCTTGGCATCCCTGGTCATCTGATGCTGGGTGGCAGCAGAGGTGGACGGGCCGTGCCCTGCATTGGTGTGAAGGGTGAATGCTTCTCTGGTGCCTTTTTGTTGATGCAGAAACAATTTTTAGAAACTGTTTTTTATTTTACTCAACTCCCAGTCCCAGAATTTGTCTTCAGGTGTTTCTCCTTACCTTTTCCAACTGCTCAACAGCTCCTGCAGAATCTGGGAAGCACTGGTTCAGGGTGCAAGTCTCCCAGCTTTGTTACCATTGCTATTCTGAGCAGTTTGACTTGCAGGTGTTGAATTGCCTGTGACTTTCCAAGAGGGGGAGGTGGATTTGGGACAGGGAGAGAACGGTTTGCCCTCTTTCTCTCTGCCTTTCCTGTTGCATCTCTCCAAAGAAGTGCAAAGCGGTTGCCCTCTGACACGTGTAAATGTGAAAACCAACCTTTGACAAACGGGCATTGCTGTTTCTCCCTGTGTTATGGTCAGCGTGTTCTCCATGTTAGCAGCTAGAAACATTTAGATAACAGCAGTCCAAACCCATCCTGTCCCAATCAGGCCTATACTGCCCAACTCCTGCAAAATCAGAACTTGCACTGTTTTGTAAGAAGCTTTTACATGTATCCAGCTTTTGCATAGGGGTGTGAGAGCTTGAGCTCCTTCAAAATGAGAGGAAAAAGATAGGGGCTTGTGGTCTCACTTTGCACAGGATCTTTTGGCATCTGTGAGGGGTATTTCATGTGCTACAGGAATTGAGCACAGATAATGCTAGTCCTGGAGTTGCCTGGCTTCACGAAGATGGAAACTGGGTCCAGGAGAAACCTGTCTCCCAGCAAAGCCTGTTCCCAGTGATCATGATCTGTAGCTGCAGACAAAAGTGCAGGGACCAGAAGATGTTTCCCTCCCTCCCCCACTTTATGTGGGGAATAGCTGGTAGACACCCAGCTGCAATGGCTGGCAGCCTGAGCTTCTTGTCCTGCTGGCAGGCAGGGGGGTTCCTTGCTTCCCAGGGTCGGTGGTTGGAGAGGAGCTCATTGTTTGAGGGGAAGAGGTTGCTCTCAAGAGTGTCTTTGAGTGTAGAGGATGCTCTGGTGGCAGCAACTTCGGCTTCGAGCAGGTATCCTAGGTATGCATAAGAGCTCTTGGGTTTGTACACGTTTTGATTGCCCATTCCCAAGATTGCCTCCTCCTGATTTTTGTCCTCTTCAGTGGCTCTCACGCTGTCTTCCTGGTCATGTTTTTTTTCCCTGAAATACAGAAACTCCTTGCCTGTGGCAACCTCTGAGTTATTTTGCATTTCTCTGGGTCTGTGTGCAACACATGGGAAGTTTTGTGCTTTAGTAGAATGGGAAGCAAGGCCTTGGGAAAGCAGTGATGCTGAGGTGCCACTTGGTCACTAACGGTGGTCTGAGCCCTGGGGGCTGGGCTGCAGGAAGTACTGGCTGGGGAGCTGGGAGACTGCTGGGCTGAAACCCCAGTAGCAAATAGCATGATCCACGGAGGGTCCTAGCATGGCTCATACTTTTCTGCCCCCTCCAGGGTGATGGATCTTTGCCCTGTTTTTTCTACACTGTTTATAAATTTGCTGCCCATCTGTCCCTACGACTTTTTTTACATATGTGTGTATATACTGTAACTTTTTTGTTTGTGGGTGGGAGAAAATTGTTTTATGGATTATGTGAAGAAAGTCTATTTATCCTCATGGAGTTCAGAGTAGGGATACTTTGTGATACAAGATGCAACTGGTGGTGGGGAGGTTCCCCAGGGAACATATCTCCTGTCTGAAAATCCTGTTCCAGGGCTCCTGAGCATCTGTTACCTAATAAAGATGAACGTTACCACCACCTCCCACCTGCCCTCTTTCTCTGAGCCCTTTTCATCCCACCCAACAGCTGCTCTTAAGTAGAGGTGAGCTTGAAATGTCCTTTAGAGACATAAAACCTTGCAGGCACCTTGGGAAGCTGTCAGTCCTTTGTCTGGATAACCTGAAGAACAGAGCTGTACAGTTTGCAACAAAAGATGATCCCTTGGTGGAGCAAGTGTGGTGTCTACATGCTCCTTTGGAAACAACTCAAGAGGCTGATGGCTTGAGCAAAGCCAAGCAAGGTAAAGCTATGCCAGAAACCTGCAATTTTAGGAGCATCTCTATGGGATGAAAGCTGTTAGCTGACCTTGGTTTAGAATAACGTCCTTTCACTCCATCTCTTTGTTTCTCTGCTCCCTCTGGTAAAACTCTGTCAGAACCATTAAACTTCAGACAGAGGAGATCTCGTTTTTGTGTAGCAGCTCGAAGGGTTTTGTGGTTGGGCCTGGAAGCTGTGTTCCCACCGTGTCCCCCATTGGGGGGTTCCCCAGGCCCCGTGGGAGTGGGCTTTGCACTCTGCTGCCCCGGGGGAAGGTGGTGGGGTTTTGGGAGCAGTGTGGAATTCCCCAGCCAAACCATACCAAGGCCATATGGTTTAATGTATTATTTATTGACAAGATGGAGGCTGGGGCAGTGGGAAAGGGGAGGCTGGGGAGGGAAAGGGGCTGCTGGGCTTTACTGGCAGCACCAGGCTGGTGCTTTGAGTCCATTGCTCTTCCCCTCACCTGCTCACTGGAGCTAGGTTTGGTTGCCTGGCCCAAGCAGGATGTGTTCCCAGTCTGTCCAGCACTGGCCCCTGTCCCTTGAGCAGGGTACTGCTCTGTCAGTGTGCTCCCAGCTCAGCCTCTTCATGGGGCGGGCTGAGAATGGCTGAAACTTGTTGCCCGGATGAGACCCCAATGCCTCCTCGATGGTGAAGTGCAGCCAGCAGTTGCCATCCCTGGAGGGGAGGAAGGACGGCGCATCTCCCCCTCTGGCCAGCGTTGCAGTTTACGTAGATCCTACGATGCTTTGCTCTAGTGGGCTGCCCCCGAGGGCAGCAACACCCCGGTGAGGGGGCAGCCCCAGCCCCTGGCAGTGCTGGTCGTCAGACTGTGACCTCAGTCTTGCTGTTGGTGGCGAGGTGCCGAGGGTGCTGGCTGTACAGTGGGGTGGAGGGGCCGAAGGCCTCAGGTGGCCCCTCGGGGCGCAGGGTGGCCAGGCCCGACCGGTGGGGACCGCGATGGGGGGCCCCCTCCCAGCCCCCTGGGAAGACCAGGCTCCCTGGCAGCTTGGGGCCCTTGGCCTTGGGCAGGGGGCAGCCCTTGGGCAGCACTGGTGTCTCGGTGGGTGGGAAGGGCAGTGTGCTGGCGGGGGGTGTCTCCAACCCCCCGAATCGCCTGTAGAAGTCCTCAGAGGTGCTCTCTGTGGGGACAGGTGTGGGGTGTCACCGCTGCAGGGACACCCACTTCTGCTGGTTTGGGGGGACCCGGGAGGGTGCACTGGTTGGGAAGGCTGGGATGGGGCCGTGGGAGGTATCCTGGGTACTGATTGGCTGGGGACTGGGGGGGGATCTCAGCAATGAACTGGCTGGGGAGTGCGGTGTGTCCATGTGGATCCTGAGGTCTGATGGGGTGGGCAGTGCTTCAGGTCTGTGTGTGATCCTGGGTGACTGGCTGCAAAGTGCACTGGATCCATGGGAGACCCTAGACACTGACTGACTGGGCAGCACAGCAGGCTGGTGGAACAGTGGAGGAGCCACAGAGTTTCTGCTATGAGCAGCCACCCTGGGAGCCCTGGGAAACTGGGAGGCTTGTCCTGTCCATGCTCCCCTGTGAGCCCCATGCCCCTCCCCACTCGTCTTGCTGGGTCCCCCTGCCACCACCCCACCCCACACGACAGCAACACTCACCTCCAACCTTGAGGGTGGTGTAGGAAGTGTAGTCTGAGGCTGACAGGGCCAGGCTGCTGGCCAGCGGCAGGCGCTTGCCATGGCTGTGGGGCCGCCCCAGTGAGGGAGCAATGGGCACCGCATTGTTCAAGGGCGGCTTGTCTGGAGGGGCAGAGGCAGGTGGGGGCTCAGCCACAGGCTGTACCCTCCTGCTGCCTTTATCCACCCAAGGGAACTTATTTTTCCCCACCACACTAGCACCTTACCTGTGCTGTTTCTGGGGGGCCCCCGGGCCAGCCCCTCACCCAATGGGACCTGCACACCCCCCATGAGGCTGTCCATGTTCTCAGAGGGGCTCTGGCCTGGCTGCTTCAGCAGGTCTGTCAGTGTCCTGGGAAAGGGATGAAAGGGCTGTTAGAGCAATACCCTGTTCCCCTGGGTCCCCTAATGCATCCCAGCCCTGAATCGTGCTCTTTGGAGGCAGAGACGGGCAGCCTGGGGCTAGGAAATGGCTGCCGGGAGCCAGGATGCACCCAGGGTCCTAACCCAGCTTTTGCAGGTGGGCTAGTGAGCCCCACCTGAACTGTTAATTGGGATCAGACTGGGGCTGAGCCCTCCCAGAGCCAGGGTTGTCAGTGGGTGAGGATGGTGAGGGAGATGCACGGCTTGGAGCTGGGTTCAAGGGTCTGATGCACTGAGACAGAGGAACCTGATCTGATGGCAGCTGGAGCAACACTTTGGGGATGCTCCTCTGGAGTGAGAGCCTGGTATACATGGGGAGAGGAGGCAACACCTCCACTCGAGTCCCTTTGAAACATGGAAGACCCTGAGGAAGGGATTAGAGAGGCCACTTGCACCCCTTCGGGGAAGGGGATGAACTAGCGGCAGCCTCTGGTGCAGGCACTGTCTGTGCATAACACCCTCCTTGTAAGTAACAGCATTAAACATTAAACACCATTACATAAGATAGAGCCCTATTTCGTTTAACATTCATGGACGGAGATGCTGCAGTCCCACCGCGGTGTGCCGGCAATGTGAGAGCGAGGCATGCTGGCCATGCCAGAGTGGGGTACAGCAGTGGTGCCAGAGTGGGGCACACCAGTGATGCCAGAGAAAAATACACCAGCAGTGATAGAGGGAGCACAGCAGCAGTGCTGGAGCAGGGCATACCCACCTGCCACTGCAGCCTTTGGCAGCAAGTCCCAGGACAGGTTGGGATGCTCCTGCTGGTGTGGGACTTTGTAATGAGAAGACATGCCATTGCCCCTGCCTTGACCATCCCTGGGTGACTGTAAGAGTGCAGGGGTGTCCACTTGGGGCTTTTTTTGGCTCCCTAATCCCCAGCTCACTGTCAGCGTGCCTCGCGCCTCAAAGGCTCTGGCTGGCTCATAGACACACACTGGGAGCTGTGGCAGGAGCTGACGGTTAGCAAGTGGTTGGATGATAAAACAGCAGATTAAACTCAACATGCATAAATGCAAATGGGAGAGGAAGCGGGGAATAATCCTGACTTGGTAGATGTGTCAGCTCATGGCACCGGAGTGCTCAAAAACCTAGAGAATGTGGTACAGAGAATTGCCAGGAAAGGCAGTGAGAACAAGGGGGAAATCAACGTGTTGTGCCCAGGGGTGCGTATGCTTGTGGGGCCCCTCATTTTCCCTCCCAGTTTGGCTCCAGTCAGTATCACAGGGCGATGGCAAGAGCAAAACTACAAGGGAAGGTCACTTGCCCTTTGGGTTAATTTCCCATCATTCTTGGGAAGCTTGGGGTAGCAACCCTTCTGGGATCACTTAATCTCCAAATGGGCCAAGAGGACAGTCATGGAGCTGAACAAATTGAAATGAAGGAGGAACAAACTCTGGCAGCTGACAGCTGGAAGGCAGCTTGGTGGAAAAGGACCTGGGGATCCTGGTGGACACCAAGCTGACTATGAGCCAGCAGCGTGCCCTTGGGACAAAGGTGCTGCATGGTCTCCTGGGCTGCATTAGGCAAAGTGTTGCCAGTAAGTCTGAGGAGGGTGATCCTTCCCCTCTGCCTGGCACTGGTGAGGCCACACCTGGAGTGCTGGCTCCAGCTCTGGGCTCCTAAGTACAAGCTAGACATGGACATAAGGGAGAGAGTCCAGGGAAGGGCCACAAAGATGGGATTGGAGCATCTTTTACATGAGGAGAGGCTGAGAAAGCTGGGACTGTTCAGCCCAGAGAAGAGAAGGCTCTGGGGAATCTTATCAATGTTGGTGAGTATCTGAAGGGAGGGTGCAACAAGGACAGTGCCAGGCTGACAAGAGATGACAGGGGCAAAAGAAACACAGGAAATGCTGTTTAAACAGAAGAAACAACCTTTTTTCCTGCAAGAGTAGTTAAGCGCTTGACCAGGCTGCCCGAGGAGGCTGTGCCACCTTCATCCTGCAGCTATTCAAATCCTGCACCTCCCCAGGCCCCCTCCTGCAGTGGACTGACTCAACTAGGGTCCAGGCCAGGCCCAAAGAAACTCTGGCCACACGCATGGGTGGGCAGTGGGCTATGCCCAGGCAGGGCAGGGGGGAGGCAGGTCCCCCAAGGCCATGGTTGTAGGCTGTCAACACAGGGAGCTGCTGCCCTGTCAGCTCCCACCTTCCCTGGAGTGCACTGCACGCTGGCCCCCTCCCCACTGGATGCTGCCTGCTCTTGCCTGTCCCCGGGGCCAGCGCTCAAACAGGATTGTTTCAATGGGAAGTTCAATGCGATTTGACCTATTTTTTAAATTATTTTTTCTTTTCCTCGGGTCTATTTATGAAGCTTGAGCAATCCTTTATCTCTGACTTCCTCTCCAGATAAATCTGTCAATGCTCTTTCTCATAAACCTGCTCTCTGTGCTGACCACCCAGGGCGTGCAGATGATAACGATTAACAACAGCACGAGCAGCTCTTAATGAGCTACTCTGCCATGGTGAGAAACATTCATGAGCCCTCCGCACCAGCAACACCCGGATTCACCCTGCCCTTGCACCAGAAGTGGTGCCATAGGCTATGGGTGCCAGTAGGTCTCTCTGGGGCTGCACGCCCTCCCTGGCTCATCCCCAGGTGGTGCAGTACAGGGGAGGTGGACATGGAGGGTGACACCATCCTGACGAGCTGCTGTCTCACCAAACAGGGTTTCGGGGGTTTTATGAGCCTCACTCTGGTCCTGTGGCTGGAGGGCTTAGGGAAGCTCAGGTCACATCTCCCTAGGTCACCCAGTGGTCTGTGGCACCAAAATGGCTCTGGGGTGCAGGTGGAGGAAGGGAACGGAGAGCAGATGTGGCTTTAGACCTACACTGCTTGTCTGCAAAAAGCATAAATGAACAGCACCACTGAGGCCTCCATCCACCATCATAGCCACAGATGTGGAGTACGTGAGGCCATGTGTGAGGGTCGCTGGCCACCCAGCTTGCCTGAGCACAGCATCAACTTGGTGGGCATGCAGCCACCTCCATGGCAAGCCTAGTTCTGCCAATGGGTACAACAAAGATGCCCCAAACCATCTTGGTGCAAGCCCTGAGACCAAGCACAGAGGCAGAGCCAGGAGCAGTGAAGATGGAGGCCGAGAGAGCTCCACGGCAGGAGCCACGCACGCAGCACTCAGTGCTCCTGAGCCATCCCCAGGGGAGGTTCTCGTGTGGGAGCAGGACCTAGGATCTGGCAGAACACCCCAGTCCAGGGGCTGACCCACTTTTGGGAGGCCCAAGCCCCATATCTGGCAAGCCCAACAGGAGAGAGGCTGCAAGTCCCTGCCAGGGGACAGGGAGTGCAGTGAGGAGACGAGTGCAGCCTGCAGAAGACAGGACAGATGATGGAGTGATGGATGAAGTGATGTTGCCCTGAGCTGGAGTGAACCCCTGGAAGGGACACAGAAGGTGGCATCCACTGGAGGAGCAGAGTGATGAGGTTTGGAGCAGAGGTGTAGTGTTGCAGGAGACACACAGCACATCACAGCTGCAGGCGGGCTGGCATCCTGGCCGGCCACATCACCTCCATGCCCAGTGAGAGCATAGTCCTCACCTCCTGAGGTGGGGACATTTCCCACGGCTTATGATGTGTCTGCTCAGGGCAAGAGGTGCCCATCTATGCAACTGAGCAGAATGGACACCGTAGGACATCTGCACAGTGGGGCTGGGACTCTTAGGGATGCTCAGGAAGGCGTAGGGGTAGCAAGGTGTCTTTGCAAAACTGGAGTCGCAGCATGGAGTAATGGAGCTTGGGCAAAGAATTGAGTGGTGGAAATGAGCCTCCCTAGACATCATGTTCAGTCTAGGAACAGGTCTCCCTCCCTGCTGAGCTGGATCCCCTCTCATCCCCCAAAGAGCCGGGGCAGCGCACCATGCTGCCTGCAAACACTTTTTCTAGGTCTTCGCCACCACATGCTACCATTGGCATTGACTGATTGACTGCAGGCATGGCCATGGACTTGAGCATTGTCAGAGAAATACCCGGTGCAGTTGGATGTACAGTGGGGTCAAGTCTGGGGAACTCCTAATAGCATGGGGAGACCTAAAGAGTGAAAAGCCAGCACTGCACACTCACTTACTGCAGTTGTCAGGGCACCTGCTCCTGATGGCTGTTTTGTCCCTCTCCAGAATCCTCACTACTCCCCAGGGGCCTGCTCTTTGCCCAACTCTTGCCACAAGGATGTCTGCCCCAGCTATAATCTTGCAATCCCCTCCCAGGAGGTTTTTGGGAGAGGTCTGGGGCACGTGCCTGCTCTCGTGCAATGGGCACAAACAAATCCTTGCAGCCCCCAAGGACCCAACATCCCCGGAGATCCGGGGACTGAAGAAAAACACAGGCAGGTGTTCTTGACTCAACACAGGGTTTGGCCAGGCTAAGCGAGTGCTGGGGATGGATGCCAAACGTGAGCCGAGCAGGAAGGAGAGGGGAGTGCAGGAGCTGCCATAAGGCCCTGCAGGAGGAAGGCGGATGAGGAGGGGAGGACAAATCAAGTAGCTGCAGTCACTAGAGCACCCACTTCCCTGGGTAGACCAGTACCCAAATCTGTGAGGAGATGTTGGAGGTGGCCAAGGCGTGAGGGTCTCAGGACAAGCTGGATACAGACTCAGGTGTCTCCATGAGGGAGGAGCTAGTGGACTTCCTGCACCTGGTCGCTCTTCCTGGATTTGGACCAGGACCAGAACCATGACAAACAACATCTGGAGGTTCAGAAGTAGTTGACCTTTCCCCCCAAGCAAAAAACCTTGGGGTGGGAGCCAGCAGTGGTGGGAGCCACCCGGGGCAGCACACAGTGCTCCCCAGGAGCGGAAAAAACCCTGGTGGGAGGGAGGGATAGGAATGGAAACCAAGACAACCGTGCAACAGGGAGCTGGCCCAAGGCCATGATGCGGTGCCCAAGGAGCAAATGAGAAGCTCCTACCTGAGGCGCCGGGAGAGAGGCGTGGTGGTACTGCCCATCCCTTGGGCCATGCGTGGGTACAGGGACGAGGTAGGTAGAAATAGCCCTGCTCTCTCAGAGGCACCAAGACAAAATGTATTGTGCCAGCTCCCCAGGCTCACAATGGAATGGAGGTGACAGTGTCCCTTTTTTGGATGCCTATGCCATGTACCCAGCCTCTGGCACTGTCTCCATCAGCCCAGCACCAGGGATGTCATGTCAGCCTGGTGTCTTGCCTGGTTCCTGGGGCTCTGCACCTGATGCACCACTCCTGCCCTGCCAGGGCTTACCAGTCACCAACCCTGTGGGACCGAAGGTGCTTATGGCTTACACAGAAGGACACAGGTCGTGGAAGATGGCAAGACCTCTCCTGACTCCGGTGATGAAGGTGCCCTTCTGATTTTGTCCCACAAAGGTGCGTGAGGAAAACTCGCCTTCTCCCAATCTATATGCTAGTGCCCAAAAGATCTCCAGCTTCAGGGAGAACAGGCACCTATAGGGAAAATTCAGGCTGGTATGAGCAAGGAGAGGGGACATGGGGAAACACACTGCTCCAACAGCACAGAATTGAGGCTACACGCAGAAAAACAGCCCACAGTGAGTGGCAGCAGTTCCACCAGTGTGTCTGGTGATGGGAGAAGGCAAGACCCCATGGTAGGGGATGAGGACACGGGTCTGGGTGTCCCAGGGTCTGACCCCTCCCTAAGCACAGTATCTCATTCCCAGGAGGTGGGGGGGAACGACCAAAAAAAGACGCGGAGGCAGGCGAGTGGAAGGGGAGTCAGGAGGCTGGCGGAGGCCGTATTGATCCTGTCAAGGTGCCAGCGCTTCCTCAGGCAACGCGGGGGGAGGCGCGGGCACGCAGCAGCACACAGCCAGGCTCCCTGCCAAGGAGGGGGCACAGCACGGATCCCCCCAAAACTGCCTCACATGTCTCAGGAGAGTCCTGTGACCCTCCTCCATTCCTCAATATGACCCTCCTCCAAGCAAGGGTGGCCAGCCTCTGCTCCCCTGGGTGGGCGGAAGAAGTAGGGTGGATCTGGGAATAGAGTGCAGTGGGTTCAGATATGGGGTGCAGCACCCGTGGCTGCCCAAGTCCTAAACAGGCAGGGAAAAAAGGGTGCTCCAGGGGAAGGAGAGAGAGTGTCCATGCTGGGGGTTGCAATCAGGGTGGCTCCCTAATGATCCCAGTGATCATCATTTCCTCCAGCCCTGTTTTTTCTTTTTTTAAAAGCTAAAATCCCTTAACAAAATGGCATGAAAATGGGTTTCTCTCCAGACTCTATGTCCTCACTGAGAAGGTGCAAAGTAAAGCCCCAAAACGGGGAGAGAAGCGTGTATCAAGTAGGAAGAGAGGAAGATGTACCAACGGCCACAGCAGCAGGACAGGAGTTGGGAGAAACACAGGGGGTCCCCAACGCCAAAATGTGCCTGACACCTTGACCTTCCCCCTGCCAGCCCTGTGCTCAGCCCCAGGAGTGGGCTGAAAAACCAGGGGCTGGAGCCACAGGGTATGGGATCCAGGAAGAGACTGCCCAACTTTCTGCTGGAGAGTGAGCTCCAAGGAGTGTGGACTCCCCCCCACAAGGGTGATGTCCCACTCTGGTGCACAGAAGCAGACAGCAGGGCACACCCATGCACACACACACAAGCTGGCGCAGCAGCCACAGAGGAGCTGTCTTTGCCACCTCCTCTCCCCCTATACTGCCAGCGAGGCTGAGACCAAGGGGACTGCAGTCCAGAGTCACCCCATACATAGTCAGACCATAGTCTCACCTTCCACGGACATCGGAAACCACAGATTTGCTTTGGGGGGGAAAGCCACATCCTGTAGTTCTCATGTCACCCACCCCACCAGCTGGTGGGTTGGCACTCCTGAGTCAGGGACATGCCTCCTCAAGAGATGGAGCAGATCATTTTGGGAGGGGATGGGTGTACGATCACCCCTACTTGTGGAGGCTGTCCTGGCTGGCAGCCCCCCCTGCCAGAACAGGCTGGGGAGCTGCAGTCAACCCACCCCCTGGTGTCTCAGCATGCCGGGACAGGGGGTTTGGGGATCACCTCACCCTCTTGGCAGTCCTAAGGTGAAGCCAGGGCTCACCCTCTATGCAGTGGGCTGGGAACATGAGCTGGCACCCAAGGGGAAACCGAGTGGGGCGGGTGGGGGTATCGGACCCCTTTACCTGGAGACGGTCATCTCTGTCTGGGGACCCTGTGCCTTCTCCAGGCCCAGCTTGGTGAAGATGCCCACCAGCACCATGATGGCCACCACGCCACAGATGATGTAGACGATCATGTTGGTCTTGTCACGAGTGGGGTCCTCGGGGGTCTCGTCCACCCGGGCAGGTGGCTGGCCCGTGTTGACCCAGTTGGGGGTGTCATAGTTGGAGCAGCCACTCTGGTCCAGCCGCCTGGGCTTGAACTGACAGCAGAAGCGGTACCCGCAGGTCCCGCAGCAGTACTGGTAGATGCCGGCGTTGCAGTTGAACGGCGGGTCCCACTGCCCCATCACGTCGTAGTACCCGCGGCAGCGGTCCCCCCCCGGTGGTGCCGCTCCGGTGGGCGCGGGGGCCGTGGTCTCCGGCGGCGGTGCCTGGCTGCTGTTCCCGCTCTCCCCGGGCCCCCCGGTGCTGGGCTCGCCGCTCCACACCCGGCCCGGCTCCAGCAGCACCAGGCAGCAGATACCCACGACGTAGCTCGGCTCCATCCGCCCGCGGCTCCGGGGGGCCATCCGGGCGAGGTGGCGAGTTAGAGCCGCTCGCCCAGGACCGGCCGCATGGCCGCCGAACAGTCCCGGTGGAGGAGAAGGGGGCTGGGGAGGAGGGGGGCGTAATGGAGGGAAGGCAAAAAAGGGTGGAAAAAAAGAAGTGGAGGGGGAGGAAAGTGCGAGGGGACGTACCCCCTCCCCGTCTCTCCCCAGATCGGCCGACGGGCAGAAATTCAAAGCAAGGGGCGAGGCGGGCGGCATGGGAGAGCCGCCGCCTCCCGCCGGCCGGGGAGGGGACGCGGCGGCGGGCGGCGGGAGCGGGCGGGCGGGCCGGGAGCCGGCGGCCGCTCCATCCCCGCGCCTCTGCCCGCGCTTCCCGGCACCGCGGTCCGCCGAGGAGACAGGAAGGAGAGGGAAGAGAGAAGCAGCGAAAGCCCTTCGCACCAGGGCGGGAGGAGCAGGAGGAGGAGGAGAAGGAGGAGGAGGAGGAGTGCGGGGGAGAGAGGGAGGGAGCCGGCGCGGCCAGCGAGGCGCGGGGGGCTCGGCTCCCCCTCCGCCTGACAGCCTCCCGAGGAAACCGGAGAAGGTCCTTCACTGAGTCCTCTGCCAGGCTCCCCGCCGCCACAGGGCGGCAGGACACCCGCCCTCCCCGTCGGGCAGCCGCCGCGGGTGGCCGGGCACGCGTGGCAACCGTCCCACGCTGCCCATCTGCCCCCGAGCACGCCCCACCCCTGCCGCGGGATCCCCACTCGCCTGGGCGGGGGCTGCGAGGCCGCAGGCTGGCATTTCGGGGTGCAAGAGGGGTGTATGCTGAGGTGACAGAGCCCCCGAGGTGGTGGGGTGCTCTCCTGCAGCCCCACAGCTAGGGGACACGCAGGGAAGGGGGGAAAGCAACAGTCTCAGTCCCTTGTGAACATCGGAGCATCTCCCAAGGGGAGTTATGCACGGGGGGCTGCCGGATGAGCGATGTGGGGGGCTACTGGGGCACTCTTAGGAACTCGTCCTCCCCAGAGCTGCAACGATTTTTAGCTAGCCACTAGCTGGCCCCATGTTTGGGCTTCAAAGTCCAGACCTCTCTGGGTGATGTGCAGCCACCACTCTGGTCTCTGGCGGAGGCCACACATAAAGGTGGTATTCATCCTCACCGCCCGAGCTCCCCTCCCCAGAAGGGAAGGATTTGCTTTTCCTGCTCTGGGACCATTCCAGCAAGAGCTCAATGGGGGAAACTGAGGTGCCTTCGGGCCCCTTGCCCAACAGTAACATGTTGTACAGCCTGAACAAGGGTGGCTGTGGCAAGGGGCATTGTGACACATGGGAGCCGTGGCTGCAGCCTCATTGTCTCTGGACAGTCCTGAATCCTGCACCAGGGAAGGGCAGCAAATCCAGCACCACCACTGCCTTCTTGGGCATATAATTTCCTCCATGCTTAATGAGAGAAGCTGAATACTACTGCCTTGTCCTTTCTTGCCCTGTTGGAGCTCTAACCTGAAGAATGGGGCTGCCTTTGTGCTGCACAGTGCCAGCACAGGAGATCCCAGCCCCCAGGCAAGGAGTGATACAAAAAGACATTGTAATGATGGAGGTAGGATTAAACAGGTCGGGGAGGCTCAGCTCCGTCTGACAGGTACCTCCAGGACAACACTGAAGCCCCACGGACCAGCCTGTCCCCAGGACCCATGCCTTACCTGCCACACCACAAGTGGCAGGCTGAGAGTCTCTCACGGGATGAAACACTCCGATATCATCCTGCCTGTGCATCATGGCGGTGCAATGTTTCAGGCGGGAGCTTTGCACAAACAGCTTCCCCCCACAGCACTGTTGAAACACTGCTGTGCTTTGCTCGGAGACGGATTTAGGGGATAAAATATCCCTTCCCCAGTCATCAAGCCTGAGTCCTACAGACCCCCGGCCGCTTCCCATCTGGAGGCTGGCAAAAGTCAAAGACATTGAAAACATGGATGGGGAGAGCAGCTGGAACCCGGGACATGTCCGATCAGCCCCCAGTGCCGCAATCTAATAGAGATCCATTAGGTAAGGTAGCTCGTAGCCTCCAGAGCTTCCTGAAAGAGATAAAAAGCCAGTGAGGCGGAAGAAAACTGCGCTCCTCCAAAAGCCACACTTTCCCTGGATTTTGGAGGGGCTCCCTGATGAGAGGCCCCATCACCTGGAAGTTGCAGACATGGGGGTCGTTAGCACTAATAGCCAGCATCAGCATCGGCCTTGAGAGAAGCTGTGCAAGCAAAGTTTGCTGCTGCCCAGGTAATGCCAGCAATCGTTTCCCAGGCACCGGGTGATTGCTCCCGACGTGTGTGCGAGCAGAGCCGCCCCGGGGGCTCCGAGGGTTTAACAGGCTGTTAACAAGCAGAGCGAAAAACTGGCCAAAATCGGGGAGTTTGCTGGAAAATGATTGCCTGGCGTGACCTGGGAGAAACGGTACGGTTTTAAGGGAGGGGGGAGGATGCTTACTGAGTGTGAAGCAGCCGATTTAAAGGGTCTCTCAGAGCGAGGAGAGGAAGAGCGCTCGCAGGCGTTAGCTGCGTGCACCAACCCAGAAGGAAACCAAACCCAAGGGCATGGTGCGGAGGAGCACCCTCCCGGCACGTCTCCGGCGCGCAAGGCCGGCAGGGGCTGGCTCCGTGCAGTGCTGGCACCAGGGGCTCCAGCCTGCAGCTCTGCTGAGCCGTCAGCTCATCTTCGTCAAATAAGTGACCCAGCCACTAGCTGCATCCCCAAAGGGAGGGGGCTGCGCGAGGGAAATCCTATAGCCCGGCACCTACACTCTCGCGTCCCTGGGAATCAGCGGCAGGACCCGCAGGAAAATTCAGGTCAGCAGGGACCTCCGGAGAAAAAGCGAAGGACGTGCTTGCAACATCCGCGGGCACTTCTAGGAGCGGCAATTTGGGAGAAGAGCTCCGTTAGGCTTTGACCACCAGCCCTGGAGGATGTCACGGAAATATTCCCTGTAGTGACAATGCCACCCGGACTACAGAAGGGTGTCTCTGTGCTTGCAGAAATAGGATACGGGCGGTTCAACACCGAGTGGGGAGGGATACACCGAGCGCTGACACTGTAAACAGATTGTTTCTGGCAGGGCACGGTGATCTGGAGATCTTCTCTGTCACAGCCAGAGAGCCCGACAGACCCAGATCCCTGCTGATCATGGGGGTGCAAGCCTGGCAGAGCTGCCAGGCTCTTGCCTGAGGAGGAGGAGGGAGCCATCAGCAATGTGAAGCAAAGCCATGGGAGCCTCTCTGAATGTGCGAGATTTTGGGGTGCAGTCAGCTTCTGAGGGAAGCCAGCAGAGGGTGTTTGGAATCCCAGAGCTACCCAGGGAGTCCCTCCTAGGGAACCAGAGACATTTTCCCCAAAAAGTGATTTTTACCGTGACAAATTTTCATGAGCTGGTCCCTGGGCTGAGGGGTGAACAGAGGAAAGGATGCTGCTGTGGGGTGGATGCTCCACACAGAAGGGCTGTGCTGGGATAGAAGGGCCCTGGCACCTCCTGCTCGTATGCTGAGGAGTGCTGCCAGAGTGGGTTTTGCTGCTTGCAAATCAGCAGCTAACACCCGACATCAGCCGGGAAGAGCTGAAAGCGAAAGAAGGCTGTCAGGAGAAGCTTTCAGCGCGCACTGTGATGCTGTCCCCTGCCTGACGGCAAAGGAGAGGCAGACCTTCTTCCACTGTCCCTGGGGGTATATGGGGTGCTGATATCCCCTGCACCTCCCGCCATCCTCCAGGATACACCAGAGAAACCTGTTCTCCTCCAAAACTTCAGCTACTGAAGCTGGTTATGTTCCAGCCACGGCTAGAGCTGCGGAAAAGTCTCTCCTTGCATTTGTCAGGGAAATTTCTTTGGCCATCAGCATCCCACTGGGAAGTTCTGAGTTTTCTCAGACCCGTTGTCTAGGACTGGGATAAGGAATCTCTGGGGTCAAGTGCTGGGCTAACATGGGCTAACATGCTGTTCCCATCCACATATTGTCACGGGCTCAACAGATTGGGGAACCCAAAGGAGATCTTGGGCTACTGGTGTCAGAAAACTAAAGCAGGGGGAAGTTGAATGCACTAGGAGAGGCACAGGGATGTGGTGGCTGAGCCCAGAGCAGTTCCCATCCAACCTATTTCCAGCCCAATGTGCACAAGAGTTTTATTCCCCTGCCTGTGCTTGATGGTCTGGCTATAAAATGGCTGTAAAAGAACAACTGTGCCTCATAACAGCTTATAGAGAACACAGAAGCATATGTCCCTTTACCATTACCATCACAATTGCAAACATTCAAAAGTTGAGATTTGCAAGCTTCCAGCTTCCCAAAGGCGGATGGATTCAAATCCAAATGACATCCAGAGGAATCATGAGAAAATCAGCTCAAAGCAAGGGCTTATTTTTAATTTATGCCGCAGTATGGGCAAGCAGGATCTGGCTGGCAGCCTGAGCTCCCTCAGCTGCCACTCAGAGGGCAGCCATGCCCCCAGATACAGCCATAGAGGCCCACAAGCATCAGCTGTGACCCCCAGGCTGGCTGCATACGGACTTTGCATTTAGGATTAAACCTGCAGACAGTATTGGTAAATGCTCCACCTGTGCAGGCACACTCAGTACTCATCATATCACTGTCCCAGGAGTTTTGCCAGCACAGTCTGGAGACTGTTTTGTGGATGGGTGCAGGGTCTTTGCAGACCTCTTTACAAACATCTGAGCTTCAGGGCAGCCAGGAGGATGTTGGATCCAAAACTATCCCCTCACCAGTACCTGCAGGCAGAGTGGGAACAGCCCAGCCTCAGATCTCCCTTCCACAATGGGCTTGTGCAGCTCGTCCTTGCCACTATCCTGGGTAGAGCCTGAGCATCCTCTGCTTTCTTGTTTAAAGCAAGTTTCTACCAGTTTTTCAAGGATTAAAAGGCCCTATAAGCACTTGAGGCAGTGATGCACAGCCCAGTTTACCCAGCACTGTGGTGGCTTCCCTGGTTACGTTCCCCCTCCCCACCCCCTCTGCTCTCAACCCTGACCACCCCTCATGCAAGGTGCTGATCCAAACTGCAGTCATTTAGGGCAAACCACACTGAAACAGAGAAGGGATGAGAACAGCCATTGCCATGGGGGGAGTCTCCAGGACTGGGGCAAACAGCTGTGTGTGAAGGGGAGGTCTGCCAGAGCTAATGGGAGGCAGTGGGGCCAGCCCTGGGCTGCTTTTGCCTACTGTGGAGCACTAAAAACCAGACTGTGGCAGCAAAAGGAACCCAACCCCCCCTGCTTGATTACCTGAGATGGTGATGGTGGCAGTGAGCTGTTGGTGTTTGCTGG